ATGCAATTAAACAATCTTTGTTATTCATAAGATTGGCACATACTAAAGATTGCTAATGATTTGGTTGGCAAAAGTGTGGAAATAAGTACTTTATACATATTGTGTGGAAGTATAATTTATTACAATTTATTAACTTTGTTGAAGTCCAGCTGGGTATAGGCCTCCAATATACATATTACGTGAATTCAGGATTTTTTTAGATACAGTTAGAAATAATTCTATAGTTACAATACTATAAAAAGGCAAAGATGTTTATCTAAGCATATTCATTGCAACATTGCTTTAATGCAACACTAGCAATAAGGGAGATGTTTAAGGGACGGATTGGGTAAATAATGTGCATACGTACGTGAACTATGCTGCCATTAAAGGAATGTGGCAATATGGAAAAAAGGTCAAAATATATTTAATTATTAATTATTTTAAGGATATAGAGAGTAAAGGTAGTATTGTACACTTTCAATGGTCTACATATGCCATATATTTAAATTTTTTTCTTTGAAATATAAGAAATTGGCGATAGGTACCTTTCAGGAGAGGGTGATGGGAAAGACTATGGGTGTGGGTAATAGAGACATAGTTTAATATTGAGTATTTACAGTTTCTTTGTTAATTTTTAAAGACCTTATGATTTAAATTTTAAAGTATGATAATAAAGATCTCTGGGTGCTGGATATTGGTATATTTGTTCTTTTTTTCTTCTTCAATTTTCTATTTTAGACCAAATAATATTTCAAAAATTCTTCAATGAAATCACCAGTTTTTGTGAAGGGAAACATAGGGGTACAATATTGGATTTGTGTAATGATATTGGTTTTCAAGTAATTCTGCATGCTACAGGGGCCAATGTTATCCACATGAGACGACTATTTCTGAAGCTTAAAAGCTGCAGAATCTGCTCTAGGAATGACTTTTCTACCTAATTTCATTTATTCCTTACATAAGATTGGAACTTTCTTTACAGCATGAGACTGTTGAGACTAAAAAATGAAATCCAAAGGTAAAAGAATTGATTGGAAACGGATTAATAAAGGAGAGTGTATGGTTTAATTATGAGAATCAGATTTTTATTTGATGGTGAAGCTTGGCTTATATGAGACTTTGCTACATAATGATGCACTAAATATTGAGTTTTATTTCCAATAATGGCATTGAAGAATTTCAAGCAAACATCCTCACCTCAATTTTCCAACCTTGGAAAGGGAAAACTGCTTTCTTCAGGAATATGCCTGAAGAACCAATATGTTATGGATCGGAAAGGATGTTAGTGGGAGAAGCAGGAAAGAGAGGTGTTCGGGCTAGACACAAGAAAGCATGGGCCTTTTAATCAATGAAAAATGTAATCTGATTGGAAGGTAATGGAGTAAGGAAAGAGTGGTAAGAAAAGGCAAAAGTACCCATGAGTCACTAATGTCCAGCCTATTTATATATATTATATATACATATATATGTTACATTATATATATGTAATATATATATATATAGTATTAATATACAATTTTGTTACTTATCTTAAGAAACCAAAGACGGCAGTCTGGTGATATGAACATAGATTGGAGGAGAAAGAAGAAGTGCTGCATCATCTCAGATAAAGAAAATAAGATTGGGCTAGGATGAGATAATGATTTGGACTAAAGAATGACTTAGCAGGCTTTTAATGAGTTAGAATCTGTAGCAATTAATGTTTGATTGCCATGGAAATGAAGGCGATGAGTAAGTCCAGACAACTTCCAGGCTTTTCATTAAGTATAATATACCTGTTATATAGCATAAGAATAATGTAAATGTTTTTTAAATAATTAGAACAGATTATTAAACAAATATATTGACAGATAATATTATATGTATTTATCTATACAACATGGGTTTGGAGTTATATACATTGCAAAATGGTTAAATACAGCTATTAACAAATTCATTTCCTCACATAGCTATCATTTTGTGGTGAGAGCACTTACTAGAACTCTCTTTGCCTTTTAGGGATAAATGTATCATCCTAGTTGATTTTGTTGCTATAAGGGAATACCACGAACAGGGTAATATATTAAGAAAAAAGTTAATTCAGCTCATGTTTCTGGAGGTTGGGAAGTTCATGAGCATTGTGGTCAGCATGTGGTAAGAGCCTTCTTGCTGTGTCATGACATGGCAGGGGCATGACAAGGTGACGAGGGCAAGAGCAGGGAGCCAGAGAGAGCCAGAGAGAGCTTGCATTTACAACAAACACATCCCTGTGATAGTGACATTAATGCATTCATGAAGGTAGAGTCTCATTGATCCATTAATGAAACAGAGGACAGACAGATTAAACTTCAAAAACATGAACTTTTGGGGACACATTCAAATCATAGTTCATCAACTCTTGTCACGTCTGTCTGTCCAATAGATCTCTTGAATGTATTCCTCCAATCTAACAGTAATTATGAATCCCTGGACCAAGATCTTCCTATCCTCCCTGCCCCTTAACCACACAGGCTCATGGTAAACACCATTCTGCTCTCTACTTCTGTGGGATTGACGTTTCTAGATTTCACATATAAGTGACATCATTTTGCATTTGTCTTTGGCCTGGCTTATTTCACTTAACATAATGTCCTCAAGGTTCATCCATATTGTTGCAAATGATAGGATTTTTCTTTTTATGGCTGAATAATTTCCATTGTGTACATAATCTTACAAACTTAGACATAGTATTATTGTTTTATACACTATTATTTTAAAGCTTCTATTTTTTTTGTGTTATTATCCAAAATAATTAAAACAGTAAGCACCTTGGTAAAACAAAAGGGTGAAACAAGATATGCTCAAAATTTTTTGAGGACTAAATTATTATTACTCCATACTTCTAAATAATTAATGTAGTGATTCTTTTCTAACTTTGAAATTTTTCTTTTATGTTTTTAAAAAAAGTTGGAAGAAAATACCTACATTCCTGAATATCACTCTGTGTGTGTGTGTGTGTGTGTGTGTGTGTGTGTGTGTGTATTTTTAGTTCTATGGAAAAAATTAGTTAAAACACTTTGTGGTACTTCTCTCTAAAGTGAAATTAAATGAAGTTAAGGTGATGTGATAATCAAACTAGTAATTGACTATGGAAGGCTACTTCATAAAAAGATAATATTTCTCCCTTCTATTTTTTTTTACTATATTTTGCATTATTAGAAAATTGTCTAAAACATCTTTGCCATCTTCTTTATTCCTTTCTATATTTTATTTATTTGTATTATTCTCTAATTTTTATGAATAGAAACTGAAAAGAAGTCAATTATCTTAAAATTTATTGGTTTGAGTAATTGTCAAATTAAAAATAAACCTCAAAACCACTTTTTCAGGACCTCAGTACAGTGTTCTGTAAAAAATATGCCAACCTAAGTATTGTTATTTTTAAAAGAAGTTTTTTAAAGTCAATACATATTCTTATTGAACCAAGATGTATGTATAAATATATAAGATATTTTTCATGACCCATTCATAACCAAAAACTGCTATGAAATTCATATTCTTTAAAATAAGTTTATTCAAAAATTGTGGGTTCATATTTAAATTGAGCATCAAACTTAATTCCCAAAGTAAGTGGCAGATGTTCCTTCTGTACTGAAACAGTTGTTCATATTTTGAAACAAAAAGAAATACTGAGTCTTTATGACATTCCACCAACACATAAAATATAACCTATGTCAGAGAATTGAAACTCTGGAAACAAAAGAAATACGTTTGACTTTATACTCTAAGTGGTCTACTTAATTTTAACCCCAGTAAGTATTAACATCATTTGTTTGTGTGCATGTGTGTAGAGTCAATCAACTTCTTTTAGTAATATATTTGTTTGTGAACTATATATTGTGGTCATTGCATTTTAATTCAGTATATTTAAAAAATTTTAAAATTCACAGTACTAAAAACAACAAAATTATATGGTGAAGGACATAATTAGAAAGCTGTACTATTATACTATCCAATCCCCTTGTATGGAAATCATCTTCACTCAGATATTTTTCTTAAAGTGATTTTGAAACCTCAATCAGTTACGTTGGGCCACGCAAGCTACAGAAGCATCATCTGGGAGTGTGTGAAAAAACAACTTCTGGAGTGCTGGTATAGTATTATTTCTTGATCTCAATGCCAATTACGTAGTATGCTCAGTTTGTAAATGTTTATCAAATTATACACTTATGATTTGGGCATATTTTTAAATGTATGTTATACTTAAATAAATAAGGTTTCACAAAATAAAATATGAGGAGTCATTAAAATTCATAGTTTAGAAGAAAACAGGAGAATATTGTCATGATTTTGGGGTAGACAAAATCTCTCTCCTAGATAGAGAATGTATGCTCTCAAAAGGCAAAGATTATTAACTTAAAAAAAAGTAGGTGCAAAGCAACATATATGGAACAATGTCTTTAAAAAGAGATATGTGTATATATGAATGTTTTTGTGTGTATGTGTATAAATAAAGATTATACGGAGGGATGTATAGGTAGTTGTTAAGTTTTAATAGTAGTGATGTTCTAGGTGGAGAGAATATGGTACCTTGATATTTAAATAAGATATGTTTTTGATTCATTGTGTTTTCTAACTTTCTATAATGCACATAGACAAATTTTGTAATAATAAAAGGCTAATTTCAATTTTAAAATATAACACTATGAAGTAAATAGTTAAAGGAGTAGGTAAATAGCATTTCCAATTTTTTCTTTTTTTTCTTTCTTTATTGTTATTAACAGGCAAGACTAAATTATAGTACCCAGAATTTAGTGAGTTATTTTAATGTTTCAACATAATAAACTTATTATTTGTGTATACTGTTTATATTATTTTTTCTTTCTTGCCTTATTAATCAACCACCATGTCAATTATTAATTCTTTACCATTTGATATTTGTTTTGTTATTCACTAATTGCTATACAAAATATATTCTCTTTTATGCTTTATTTTGAGATGCTTCATTAAATTATAATGGATTAGGAATAAATATTTCAAATAAATAAAAAACCCAAACATTGTTATCCCCCTCAGGATATACAAACATTTTAATTGAGAAAATATTCAAAACAGTTATACATATTAATTATCACCATGAGTCTCTGAAATATTTAATTATGCAAATGAAATCTTTAAAGGTAAAACAATTAACATCTTTACAACCTAATCTGTTTTTCCCTGCCTTTGCCATGGAGAATTTCAAGAGACTTATTAGAATATATAAAACATGTCAGAAAACATATCATAGAATTAAAATGGGAATAAAAATTTAAAAAAAACAAGAAAAAAGAAAAACAAAATAATATGCATAGGATAATACCCAAATAACTAGTGTATATGATCTAAAAATAATTTTAATGTCAATTATATAGTTAATAATATCCATGAAATAAAGGTGAATTAATTGCTCTTAATTCTAAAATTAGATTGGAATAGCTCCAGAGAACACTGCTAAAGAGATACTGTGGGAAGTCATGGCCAACATTCTCAACAACATTAATACATGCACTTGAGTTTCATCATCTCATTTTCACATTATTCTTAACATTTTAAATTTGAAACACATCTTTTGGTGTCTTCAGAAATTCACAATTTAATTTCCATTTTCCCAAAGAGCTAATTTCTAGCTCAGTTGATGTTCTTTTAGAGTACTGCAAGGTTGCCTTAAGGATATTAATGATATTCATGTGAATTAAAAAGAATCAGAAAACTTGAGATTAAATTTGGTAACCTTTTCAAAAACTCTAAAATTTAAAAAAATTCAACATGATTACATTATGAATATGGATGAAAAAGCTATTAGCAATCATCACTGACTTCTTTATGTGTGTATATAATTCTATTTTTTCAAAATAACACATTTTATAAGGGAAAATTAATTTTTCAGTAGAGAGTTATGACCTTTTATTTATTTTAACCACATACATTTGTTAAATTTTGTCATATGTCAAATATTTTGCTGGGTTCTGAGAATCCAATGGTGAACGGACACTTGCATGGGTGCATCCTAATATGATGCATCCATGAAAAATATTTGGATGTTCAATTAATGAGTGAACTCCATGGTTGAACTATTATTGCTGTAGTCTAACAATTTGACAATATGCAGACAAAGTTAGAATAGTGGTGAAATAATACACAGATATTTTATGTTGTTAATGAGGTAGAAAATCGCCACTGACTCCACTATTAATTTAGCATTTGCCTTTGACATTTAGAATGTGGAAGAGGAACTTCCTATCTTTAACGCCCACCAGTGGCTGGTATATGAAGCTATTATTTTCTTTCTCTCTTTTTACAGAATCAGAGAAATAGTAGGCTTTGATATACTGTTTGAATTTCAAAGACTCATCTTCCTCCAAGTTATCAAATAACTCGCCCACTCGTTGAGATTACAAAAAATGAACCAAAGGCCAAGGAGAAAGATAAGAGTTTGTAAATCCTTTCAAAGATTAGGATTTCTGGCTTCATTTGAGATTGCTTTCTATTTTTAAAGTATCATTTTATTTTAATATCACCATGTCATAATTTCTAATAGAAATACAGGAACCACAAACACTTCTACATCCTCACATCCTTATCTTAAATTATGGGGAAAGTGTGTGGGAAGAGAAACAGAGAGAATAATACGAGAATAACAGAAAGGATAAAAGACAGCAGAATCAAACTGTTTGATTAAGCTAGCACTTAATTTAGTTGAACATGAAGTCTAAATGTTCCTGGAATAGCATGCTATTTTATTGACTTGGATATATTTATTGTTTAATTAAATAATATATCAACACAGATTGATAAGTGGCATCTTACACCCTTGTGTCTACAGCATACATTTTGGCAGTCTCTGTCCGAGGGGCCACATAGGACCTTGCCATGGAAACACCGGCAGTTGAATAGGCTTTCCTCATGGAATAAGGATAGTTTCTCTCAGATCCAACATCTATTTGAAGGAGATAAATGCAGACACATACAAATAAATATGACTCCATAAACTTTGGAAATGAAAAAATAATGCCATTTTATATATTCTTCTCCCAAAGGGGAAAGAATATAGATATTCACAGCAGGAATCATCTAGGAACCCTAAGAAAATCTAGTATTTTCATGCTGAAAGTTGTTTTTAGATTTAAAATTCAGCAAAGCATTTTTTTTTTCTGATGAGGAGAGATATTCTCTTAGTAGTTTCTTAAGTCGTACTTTTAGAAATTCAATATAACACATTAAATTATTTAACAATAGATAATCTGGCTGGCTCTTAGTCTACTTCTCCATTTAATGTTAATTATAAATTTAGTCGATTGAATGAAGTTTTATATATAAATATCATATACATATTATATATATTTTTATATATAAGATTATGACATGCCAAAATAACTATTATATATTTTAATATTGGACATGGTTGTAGCCATGGATATTTTTCTCAACTAATATATCACTACCAGGGAAATAAGTTTTGAGTATTACAGTTCAATTGCCCTTGAACAACTGGAATTTTTAATGATAATAGATAGGAATTTAAATGAAAAATATTATTTTGTTCTTCTGAGATGTGTTTCCATTGGGCTAGGAAAAATGATAATGGAGGCAAGAAAGTATGCTATTTTATTTTATTCTTACCTTTAAAGACGTATAAGCAGCAGGTGAGGACAGCTCCTGCTAAAAAGCAACCCAGAGACCCAGCCATTCCAAGCCAACAGGACCAACCAAATTTATATTGGATGCCAAGAAATATATTGTGTAAAATCAAAGAAGAACGTTCCACATAAACATCAACAGCATACCAAACAGAACCAATGATTCCTGGGGCACCTAAAAGAAAGAGAGGATACTAAAAATAATATGGGGCATTTTCCAAATTTAAATCCAAGGAAAACTGCTTACTACCCAAAACAAATGACAACATTTAGAGAGGTAACAATACTATGGATTCTTGGGCAACTCAAATTTTAGATACCTCTTATATCTCCTCCTTTTCCTTTCTACCTTATATATAATTTAAATTTTATTTCAGTTTATACATAAGGAGAAATACAAAAATAAAATAATTCAGTGTTCATCTGGTTGTGTAAACCTAAACTAACCACCTTGATTTTCTTTAATTTTCCTATCTTTCCAAAGCTATATCAGTATTGTATAAAGGAAAATATTCAAAATGAAGCAAAACAAACAAAAAAAATATCACAGAGTCTAATACAAATAATACATATAATATACAAGCAATTTTTAAATTGCTAGTATATATCATTAAGAGTATTCTGTTGTTCCTTAGCCCCACGATTAAAGCTATGCCAGCTACATAATTAGCACCTATATAGAAACTATGCTTTTAAAGTCATTCATTTTAGTTTGTTGAGGTCAGAGACAAATAACTAAAGTAAAAATTGGTTTATTTTCAAATAAGTCCTTATATACCATGCCATATAAGAATGGAACAAGAAATGTTATTCTCTTTAAATAAAATTTGATTTCCACAAATTATACCTCTCTGATAATTGGCTGGTTTGAAATGATGCCACTAGGTTTCTCGTCCTCTAAAGGGATCAATTGTATGTCAAAGCCTAGATACAAAAAAGAAAGATGAGGAGTTGTGGGACAAAAAGCTATGTTCAAGCATTGTTTCTAAAATTCGTAGTCCTCAAAAAAAACGTTTACATTTTTTCCTAGAGAAGCTGTGATTTCTGTTTAAATAATGATTTCATTGCATTTTTCTCCTAATTATTTAATGCAAGGAATTTAAGAAGAACCAGATCGTGAACATATGACCTTTAGAAAACAGGGTATATATTGCCACACTTTTTCTATAACATTGTTACCCACTGATTTACATTAAATATTACTTTTCTGAAACTTCAGACTATATTATGGCCTTTAAAAAATGTGTTTATTTAGCATACTAATTCTGAATGATGGTTTCAAAGCTTTGGTCATCCCTGGTCATGAAGTCATTTCTGCGGTCATTCCTGCCAGAATTTTCTTCAGTGACTTGTATTTTTTTTTAAATTTTATTTGCTTTGTTGTTTTATAAAATATATATATATATATATAATGATGCCTCAAAAAATATTCTGGACTAAAATTGTGTAGCCTTAAATAATTTTTAAATTTATTAAATAAAATACATTGTTATATGCAAAAGCTTCATGCTGTCAGTAGGCTGGATATAGAAATGAAATGTCCTAAAAAGAATAAATTATTAAACCTTTATAATTTTGTAATGTAACCTGAGGATTTTTAGGACCTTAACTCAACATTTCTGTGTGAAAAAAATCAGGAAGTTCCCAGTTCTGAGTGTAAAAGTTTAGGCCCTCTGCTAAGAGCTTGCTCTACAGAATGTTCACAGCAGCAATTCAAGGTGGATATTATTGCCCCAGCTTCACTCATTTTGCAAATCAATTTTGCAAATCAAGAAACAGAGATCACACAAATCTATCTCCAAGTATTTTTAGTTCCAAAGCCCATATCCATTCACTTCCCTAAAGTGTCTGGTCAGGTTCTCACTTATAGTTGTTCCACTAAATTTTTGCTGCTATCAGACAAGAAGATGGTTTTCTCTCTGGGGTGTGCCCCTTGGTTTACAACCTTTTTGTACTTTGATTTCTTCAGCCCTATACCTCCTCCCAACTTGCATTCAGATTCTAAGAAGATATAATGCTATAATAGAGGAGTGCTAAGCTTTGAAGTTGAAGACAGACAAGAGTAATGTATCAATTTTGCCATTTCACTAATAAACAGCACATACAGAAAGTGCTTCCTGACTTACTGTTTATTAGTCATGCTTAATTTATTAGTCTTCAGAATTCCATTTCTTTATCTGCTGCTTAAGTGGGGATAATAATAGATCTGTTTATTGTTTCATTTATGATCAAGTGGGTTGGTGCATGGGAAAAGTTTCATACAGGATTTGGCACAATTTAATTCATTGCTAAAAAGAATTGGTGGGGTTGGGTGCAGCTAAGGAGGTGGTGGTTTAGGGCTTACTTTAGGATTTAACTTCAAGAATAACCACAAAAGAAATTCTTTTAAACATTTGAAACATTATATAACTTTTCAAATGGCTAAAAAGTAGTTTGAGAACTTTGGCATATTTTGATATGGGATATTGACCAAAAAAAAACACCAAATTATCTAATTCCAAAGCTAAAGAATGTAGGGCTGGTAGATATGCTCTTTATTCATTCGATCTAGAAAAGCAAGCCACATATGATCCTATAATGAACTGCTTTGAGATAGTACCCATCTTTTTCACCTCAAGTCCTTAGCAGAGTATCTCTACCCCATTGCTAGTCCAGACCAGTACCTGCTATTAGTAATGTGGTTCCAGCAACAAAGCAGATGCGGATTTTAATGTATGGCTCCTCAGGGAGGAATTTCACACAGTCAAGACCAAGGAGCAGGGTGATAAATCCAAATGCAGCTAGAATATCTGCAGTAATCATCAATGCTCGAGTTACCACCAACTTCACTGGAAGACCAGGGCATGTGGTTACAGAAGAGACAAAGGAGGAAAACGTATTAACTCACAGAGATGCATCATAAACAGACAACTTTGTAACATTAAAATAGCCCCACCAACAGAAGTCAGAATTCACATTTTAATGAACTTGGACATGAGTACACTTATTTTCTTTTATAAAACTCAAAAATGTTAGGAGATTATTGACATTATTTCTTTAAGCACTGATGATTACTTGGTTTGTTGGCATCCTAGCAGATAGCATCCTGGTAGATAGTTGGTATTAAACAAATGTTTTCCTTTATGCCTCTTGCTCTGAAAAGAGTCTTGTTCATAAGTATTTTAAGTGAGTGCTAACTTGAATATAGAATATCTGCTCTACAAAATTACCCAATAGGGGTTGAATGAAGATATGAATAAATTATCACTATAATTGTTTGAAGTTTAATTGAAAAAATTAAAAATATTTTGTTAAAATTTGGCACAGGAAGGCAGGATAAAATATTTTAAGACTTCTCCTGCCTATTCAGGTTAGTGGGAGCCATCAGCAGATCTTTAGAAGGAGGAGAATTCATTTCTTCTATTAAGTAGTAGAAGACTATTTTGGAAGCCACATCATCTTCTCTTTCAGCTCTTCAGATCATGACTCTTCTTGGTCAACATTCCATATCAAGCCTTTGAACTTATATTGTCAAATAAGCTACAGCCCATAATAATATATGGTCAAAGGTCCAGGAAAGAAAAGATTATTTTATTGGGTAAATAAAAGTGAAATAGTAGCAATCATCTTCTACAATAGAAGCCTCTTCAATTGTGAGAGCCTTCTAAACTCTGACTTATAGTTATGCTAAATTAAAATTAGGGAAATTATGTCACAAAGAGAGGGTTAATTACCTGAAGTCAGAACTATTACTATTCTAGCTGGCTAATAAATAAGAGCAATAAAATTTATTCCTTTCATAGTACACCAAATATATTTTATTTCTATAGTGATCTGGGGATTCCTTGAATTTTAAATAATTTTTCTTCAATGGTAAGCCAACTTAGGGCTTATTTGGCAAATTTTGCTTGCAAAAATGCATCCAATTTTCCTTATTAAAAATAAAAAATAATTTATGATACATCTGAGAGAGGAAATCAATGTATAAAATCAGTTCTTGCCTTATTAACAGGAGACTATAGTACATGTAATTATCCTATTAGTATAATATATATGAGTACATATTTGTTCCTAGAAGATAATTTGCAAAACCTCAAAATTTGGCATTATTTCAAAAAATTTAAATGTTTTAAATATAAGACTCATTTTTCACAAAATAGAGGAAAGAGAAAAACATGCAACTCATTAGGTAATATCACTATTTCAACACATCCTCTTGATCACCACATACTTATCTACAAATGGGCCTCCTACTCAGTGTCCAAGGCCAAGGGGTCCCTGGACTTTGGAGCCCCTCCCTTGAAATTTTTCAAGTCCCCTTTTAGAACCTAGGACTACCCAGCCAGAGCAGTACCATTAAGTTGGGGTGGCCTGAACTCCCTCATGCAGACCCTCACGGGTCCTGGTCCTATCCTTTCCTTCAGGACTCTCTGCCTCCCACCCCACATACAGGGTATCTCAAGAGCTCCAGGGCTCACACCTAGGAGGTGGACCAGGGGTACCACGGCCATCCAGATTCCAGGAGAGCAGCTTTGTAAGTAGATGGTTCATGCCAGTCAGAAAGGAATTTCTTTTGGGGGGATCATGTGAAATGTGGCTGCTAGGATGACATTAAAATGATGACTCACGGGGACTCAAATTATCTATATCAACAGAAGCCATGCCAAACAACTATTTGAGACCACACACTTTAGGGCCATAGGGCAATTGAGAGAATTATCTAATTGTGGCGGTATAAAAGAGAGCAAAGACTAAAAATAAAATTCTACTTTCTCATAGGTAATATCCCTACATAGAGGATAAAATATGTTATTTTCCTGTAATATGTTTTGTCTCTGTTATCTTTAAACATATGATAGAAATTTTTAAAGAAATATTTGGTATATTATTTGAAATTAGTAAGTAAAAACAAAAGAAAATATGTGAGATAGTATAGGCAAAGATAAAAATATAAATATTAAAATATAAAATATTAAAATATAAATTAAAATATAAAGAGTGTGTATTAAATATTAAAATATAAAGAGTGTTTTTTTTCTGTATAGTGGGCTGATGAGTGATTTCTATCTTCGTCTTGCATAAACGTATACAATAGTGTTTAAAAGTTTGAAATATTTAATCTTTCATTTTTCTTCTCAGCTCTGACCACATCACTGAATTTTGTGATCAAATGAATTTCCATTCCTATTCACCAAATTATGTTTCTTTGTAGGTATAACTAATTTAACACAGGGAGAGAAAATGGAAAAGAATTAAGAGCACTTTTGTTAAACAAAAATAAAATAAGGACATTATGAATTATGTTAAAAAATGTTTCAGGCACCCAATTCCTAAATATTTTAGAGCATTGCTCTTTTTAAGTGCTTTCCTCTGGACTGAAATAGCTGTTCAGGGGAAACGTCACATTCCAAGGGTTTACTTTTAATTTATCTTGAGAAAAAGAGAAGTTGCCATGTGGTGCCATCATCCATCATTTACTTTGAATGAGACTATAACCACTTTGCTTTGATAACAGGACTGGTGTTTGTTGGCACAATTCAATGTTCTAAAATAAGTAAGGAAGTAAAGAAGTAAATAAATAAATAAATAAATGCTAGGGAAAAAGATTGAAATAATCAACAATTAGATTTTTTTAATTTAAGAGATCTCTTTATTTATAGCAATTTGGGCCTTGCTAACACCTAACTTAATTTAAAACCGAAAGTAGGGAAGACAAAGGAGCTGGCTTTAATATTGTCTGTTATAACGTGTCACATATGTTGATTTTTTTCATCCACTAATCCTCATAGTCTGTGTCCCTCTTTGGCTACCTGTCTCTTTCTGTCTCTGCTCCTAGTTCCTCCTCTCTCTTTCTTAGTAAACTTTCAATTGAAATAACTGCAGACTTTCTCTTTGAAATAAGTTGTAGTCTAAAGATACCTCTGAAAGGCTTTTCATCTAACCTGTCGATTTTAATCATAAAATCATAGCATCTAAAAACATCATTTTCAGTTCAAAAAGTGTTTACTATAAGCCTATTGTATAAAGCACTATGCTCAACTCTTTGGGAAGTAGCAGAAATATAAAGTATTTTTACCCCCAAAGAATACAAATATATTTGTATTTGGAAATAGATATTTGGGGGGATCATGTGAAATGTGGCTGCTAGGATGACATTAAAATGATGATTTACGGGGACTCAAATTATCTATATCAACAGAAGCCATGCCAAACAAATATTTGAGACCACACACTTTAGGGCCATAGGGCCATTAAGAGAATTATCTAATTGTGGCAGTATAAAAGATAGCAAAAACTAAAAATAAAATTCTACTTTCTCATAGGTAATATCCCTACATAGAGGATAAAATATGTTATTTTCCTGTAATATGTTTTGTCTCTATTATCTTTAAACATATGATAGCAATTTTTAAAGAAATATTTGGTATATTATTTGAAATTATTAAGCAAAAACAAAAGAAAAACTTGTGAGATAGTATAGACAAAGATAAAGATATAAATATTAAAATATAAAATATTAAAATATAAATTAAAATATAAAGAGTACATATTAAATATTAAAATATAAAGAGTGTTTTTGGAAACACTCCAAATATGGAAAAAGATATTTTCCATGGAAAATATATGGAAAAAGATAAAATATGTTAAAACATTTAAAATGTTTTAAAATGTAAATACGTTTAAAATGTTTTAATTAACATTTCAGAAATGAACTCAATTTCAAATTGAAACATTTCAAACAGGACAAGACCTTGATATAGAACTATAGAACACAAAACCCACAAGGGAAGCCTGAGCTCAGTTTTCTCTGGCATTCCCTTCCTGGCAAGTAGAGAAGTCTAAGGCATACGTACAAGGATGTTCCGCAAATATAGAATCATACTCATCACAGGTGCGAATCCCATCAAAAGCATTTGTGACACACTCCCACCAAAGGCCGCGGCACTTTGTGCTCACCTGGATGTCAGAGAAGACACGCGGTGTAAACAACTCATGCAGATGCATTTTAGTTCCCTTTAATCAAAGCAAAAACGTGGCTACTGTGTTTGATGCAAAGAGCAGTGGTTACAAGCATGATGAAAATTCCATTTACAACAAACAATGCATTTTAGAATATTTTCCCTTAAGCACTGACAATTAAAGGTTTTCTGGACCAGGAAGGAACTAAGTCCATTTCCAGAAGGGGGCTGGGAAGAAAATAAAACATGGTTAAGAGGGATAAAATCAAAACTAAACATAATATATTCAAATATCTATGGCTGCTTCCATCCTATAGTCATTGTTTAACATGGAAACAATTCATTTCACCTCTCTGTGCCAACATTTACTCACAAAAGAAAAATGGTATAAAATGGATAATAATTATTGGTATCTTGAGTCTACTAGTAATGTACATTAATTTTTTTCATCATGAACAGCGAGTTCCAGGAAAAAAGGTGCTATTTTATAAGAGGTTCATAAATCTAAAATAATTAGCAAAGAACACAAATAAATGAAAAGACACTAATACATAAAATAAAGTCTTCTTCACTGACATAATACAAATGCTTAAGCTATGATATGGATGTGAACAAATTGAACATTAATTTCATACAACTTGACAGATATAAATCACTTTTACTTGGAAATGATGTACTGATGACTCTAAGTGTCCACTCAGAGCTAAAAGGTCCAAATACCCTGAGCCTTCCCATACCTTATCCATAATCTGTAAGTCATAATGGATTTGTTAGAATTATAAACATGCCAACGGAAAATAGTTTCAAGTATTCTTTACAGAGCTCATGCATATGGAACAGAGCTGATACGATTGTTTCTTCTGAATCAATTATGGATTCACATTACCTTGGAAATCTGGGAATAGTTTAGTAAAGTTTAACAAAGAATTACCTTGGAAAATGAAAACTTAAGTTTTTCTCCAATAAAGAATAAATAATAGAGCAGGTTAGGAAGAGGAATGCAAAGGAAGGGGGGCTAAGTTGATGTGGAGAAGAAAGGAAAGAACATAAAAACACTTTACTTTGCAAAAGAATATCATATCAAGGAGTATATGCATATGAAACTCTCTGCCCCATGTTCTGCTTTAACGCTGTGTTGTGTGCCAAATAAAACTGACCTGTTTGTAATTCTATCACAATTTTGAATGTGATATTTTCATTATTACTTTATATATGAAATTTTGATAGTTGATTATAATTAATAATTCTATATTGCATCTATACTATGAAGCAGCTACAATTCAGCATGTTATTATTTTATTTATTACTTAAAGTACCTTATGAGATGTTATTATTGTCATCCATTTTACTGATAAAGAAATGAAGGCATAGGGAAATTAAGTGATAACCCCAAGAAAGTATAGTTAATAAATGGAAGCAACAGGACTCAAACACAGCAGTATGTGTGTGTGTGTACACTTAAGCATCACAATATACATAAAACTCATTTTTTATGAGCTAGCAATCTCTTTACTGGGCATTTATTCAAAGGGAAAGAAATCAATTTACCAAAGAGACATCTGCACCCTCATGTGTTTTGCAGCACTATTCACAATATCCAAGATATGGAATTGATGTCGATGTAGGTGTATAACAACACAGGAATTGATAAAGAAAATGTTGTATATATACACATGGAATATTATTCAGCATAAAAAATGAAATCATGTAATTCATGACAATATGAATGGAACTGGAAGACATTGTGTTAAATTAAATAAGCCAGAAAGAGAAAGTTAAATATCGTATGTTTTCTCTTATATGTGGAAGCTTACAAAGTTGATCTCATAGAAGTAAAAAGTAAGACAGAAGATACTAAAGGCTAGGAAAGGCAAGGTAAAGGAAAAGATAGAGAGATTTGTTAAAAGATACAATATTACAGCTAGGTAGGAGAAATAAGTTCTAGTGTTCTATACCACTGTAGGATGACTAAAGTTAACCATAGTATATTATAATATATATTTTCAAAAAGCTAGAAAGAGAATAGCAAAGGTTCCCAACATAAAATAATGATAAATGTTTGACATGATGGATATGCTAATTACTCTGATCTGATCACTATACATTATATGTATCAAAATATCATGATCACCCCTTTAAAAATGATGCATTATGTGCTAAAAATAATAAAACATGAAAGTAAAAAATGTTTAAATCCATCTTTAAAGAATTTCCAGCTCCATTTCAGGCTAAAGTACTCCAGAGTTGGGTATTGGAAGATAGCTTCACAGGAAGTAAGCCCATACTGAAATCTCATGGCAAGACAATTATTCTATAAAACCTCACTTTGACTTGCTCTTTGTAAGCTTGTATCTGGAAGCAATGTTTTAGACTTTATGGAAGATTATATCTGACCCAGAGAAACATAGAGACCAAAAATCTAATGAAGAAAATTCATCTTGTAAAATTTAACACCAGTTTCTAAAGCACAATGTGAACATCTAAATTATACATGCACTAAATATAAATAAGTTACATATGCATTAACTATTAAATATAAATTGACACTCTTATTACCTGTGTTGTAACCTTTGGCAATATCTTACCTTTATTGAACCACAATCTACTTATGTGTATAAAGAAGATGGTAGGGTAGTTTTAAGGATTAAATATTCTAAACATACACAAGATAAATGATTCACTCAATAAACAGATATGGTAGTAAAATGCTTAAACATCATGAGGAGCCGAGAGGCGGCTGTGTTCAGCTTTACTGACTAACCACAATGAAAGTGGAGAAAGTTGGTGGTCCTCAGAAAAATGTGTTCACATGTTTAACCCCAGAACCTATGACTGTGACCTTATTTGGAATAAGTGTCTTTGCAGATATAATTTAGTAAGAATCTTGAGATGAGGTGATCTTGGATCATCTGGGTGGCTCCTAAACTAACGATGAACATCATTATCAGAGACACACAGGAGAGACACAGACAGAAAAGGAGACAACACGACCGCAGAAGCAGCGGCTGGAGTGATGCAGCCACAAGTCAAGGAACGCCTACAGCCTCCAGACGCTGGAAGGGGATAGGAACGGATTCTCCCTTAGAACCTTCAGAGGAGTTGCCATATTTTGACTTTAAACTTCTGGTCTTCAGAACTGTGAGAGAACAAATTTCTCTTTTGTTAAAGTCACCTAGTTTACAATCATTTGTTAAAGCAGCTACAGGAAATTAATACAGTAAAGACAATTTGTTCTGAACTGCTATACCATGACAGAAAACAGGCCTTCCACATGCCTATTGCACTTCAGTTTCTCATTTAACAGGAATGCACTGGATCCAGTTCATTTTAACTTGACCCAGGTGATATAGATTTGAAGCCATTGCTCTGTAATCAATGACTGTCCACAATTTCCTACTGTCTAAGCCATCCACTAAAATAAACTAGTCTATTATGGTCATTCCTGTTATACAGGACATTATTTTAAAAGTGGTTTGAGATGCACACACACAAATTCTTATTTTACACTAATGAGTATTTCTGTCTTGCCAAAATAATCCGTATTGGTGTCAACTTCAAAGCTATTGATCATTTACCTGCAATGACCATATTTAGAAAAGCAATGAGCTCATTAGAGAAAACAAGGAATCCAATTTCATTAGGTATTAATGCTCAGGGGCACACTATTAGATTGCTTGGAATTCACACTGAGTTAAGGTACGTGAGAATAGTGGCTGTAATTAACTAAACTTCTGTGTTAATATAGCACTTACTGGAGACACTCTTAAAGGTGCCTTTGTGCACAAAAGACAAAGTTGAAAGATTTTATTTTATCATATTAAGAAAAGTCCTCTTTGTTATAATATATAGTCTTCATTTACCTATCTCTCTGTTTTAAAATGGCTTATTAGAAACTCTATAAAATGGCAACTCTAAGTTCTTGAAAGTTTTAAGAAAGGGTTCTTAAAAAGCAGACTGATGCTTAAAAAATAATGGTTAACCTTACTTAAAGGGCAAAAAATGCAAAATACTTGCTAATAATTTTTATCTCACAGGGTTGTCCAAAATAGAAGGGTCCAAATTTAAACTTTCTCCTTCTAACATGTCATTTATACATTAACAAATAACATAAAAATGCTAAAGTAATTTGTATATTATTTCAATAAATATCTCTTGTTTCTGAAAGTGAGCAGTAGATTATCTCCTAAATGGGGTGGGGAGATAAATCAGTTTTTCCAAAATATTACAATAAGGTAGAAGTCACAAACATGAGGCCAGCAAAAAACTCTTAATCAGTTACAATAGTTAAAATGTAGAGATTTTACAGAACTTGGTCAGTCTGGCCACCTGAACTTCCCAGTCCCACAAAGCGACATTTAGCAAGAGAGGAGTAGCTGCTTCCATTTTAGGTAGGGCTTGTGCTCACCAAGTTTCCTACAGTTCCTACCCAATCTGCCTCTCTCATATCTGTTGGCTATTTGTTCCTTAAAGCTTTTTAATTTTCTCCTTCTGCTATACTAATAAGAATAACTTCCCTTGCTCTCAACAGGTCAAACTTCTACTTATTACTCAAGTTCCATTTCAAAGACATCCCTTCTTCCATGAGGCCTGCCCCAGTCTCTCCAGCTGGAGTTAACCTATTCCTAGCCTGAGATTTCACAGTAATTTGTCCATATTTGTATAGCACTTATTGCCATACAAACTATGCAAACTATTCTCTTTTATAGGTGCATTTAGTGCATCTGTCTGCCATTTTTCAAACTATATTTATTGAATGCCTGTCTTGTGCTGATCAACATGCTAACTAAATGCTGGAGATACAGCAATGACCAAAATAGACATGGTACCTTCCTTTAAGAAGTATACAGCCTCTTTTTTGTGGTACATAATAGGTGCTTAGTAGAGGCTTATTGAGGAAAAAAAATCTGTCAATCTTTCTAATCTACACACTTTAACTCTCATTTGAACTTTGGAGTAGAACATGGTTATGGATACACTACATGCACAATTGTTGCTTAA